CTGGACTCCCGGCATGACAAAAATACCTAATCACATATCCCTTTTAAACAGTTTTCTCCCTCATCTGTTTCAATGCAGTATACATTATTAAACCCATCTTTCTCAGTCTCCCCTCAACCCCAATGTCAGTCCTGTTTTATAACAGTGCAGTATTTTTCCTTTTGTGACTGAGATACTTCACTCAGCATAATGTCCTCCAGGCTCACCCATTTTGTATAATATTTCATGAGTTCCTTGTTTTTCAATGCAGCATAGTATTCCATTGTGCGAATAAAGCACAGCTTCTCTATCCATTCGTTTGTTGATGGGCACTTAGGTTGTTTCCAACTCCTTTTGTGAACAAAGCTGCGATAAACATGGGTGTGCATATATCTGCTTGAGTGTCAGTTATGATGAATATTTCTTGATGATACTGAGCTCTGAACAACCGCAAGCCCCTGCTATCCTCCATTTTTATCTAAGGGAACTTCCCTTACATAACATTAGGGCTTTTAACAATGAGATTAGAGTGTTTTCATTCTTAATTCCTCTACAGCTAAGTCTGCAGTCAGGGAGCTCTCCAAATTACTGAGGAATAAGGGAGTTCCAGTGGCCTAGTGATAAGAAGCTGTGCTGCAATCCCAAAGGCACGCACGCATTCAAGGCCTGTGAGAGAAGGATGGGCAATCTCCTCATGTGTGATTAACTGCCTCTAAAACCCCACCAGCGGATCATCTATGCGTTGCCTTTACAGTACCAAACAACAGCAACTATTTAGTTGGACAGATCATGCCGAGGGTAGGAGGAATCCTGACATAGCTTCCACATTATATACATGCATTTTGTGGAGAAATAATTCAGTCCAGGATGGGTCTTTAACTCATACTGTCTCTTAAAACAGATAACCTGCTTACGCACCTACTAGGTACAAGAATTATTGGGGATATAAAATTTAATATAGACTTGTTGGTGAAAATTAAGAATTGTTTTAACAGTTGCTGCTAATAGAGTTTTTCACTAATTTTACATATCCCTCTTAATTGAGAAATAATGTTCTGAGTGATAAAATACTTGTAGATAATTAGAGTCTAATAATCTACAAATGGTCGAAAAGAATACCGATTTACTTTGTAAACTTCTCTATCATGAGATTTTATATAGATATGAGATATATATTTTTTTAATTATTATTATTTGTGTGCATACTGTCAAATTGAATCTGACTGGTACAGGAGGAGATTGTCCCTCCTTCAACAGAGCATCTGGTGGATTTGAACCACGTGCTTCTGGGATTGCAGTGCAGCTTCTTGCCATTAGGCCACCAGAGCTCGCCACATATATATTTGTGTGTGTGTGTGTGTGTGTGTGTGTACACATCAGATATCTCTATATATATCCATGTGTGTGTGTGTATTTGATAGTGTAGTTCACAGGGAGTTGTGCTACTTACCTAAAGGCCACACCTCTCTGGAGATTCAAATCTACTAGCTACTCCTTAGGAGAAAGATGCACAGACTCTTTGTGTGTGATTTATTGTCTCAGAAACCCCCTGGAGGGTCATAACGAGTCCCACTTGACAGCAGTGAGTGATCCATACATAGGTATGTATCAACAATATGTATGTAGTTGGAATCTTAGTGTAAGCCATTGTCTTCCAACAAACATCTCCCAAGAGTATAAAGATACCAGTTTTTACATTGTTTGTTTTTGGGTTTTTTTTTTTTTGGTTTTTTTTTTACATTGTTTTTTAGCATCTAGGCAGTGAGATCTTGAGAAGGATTTCTTTTGAGTAGAGACTTAAAAAAAATTTAGGCAAAAAGGCACTCTGGGGAAATTCCTTAAAAAGCCCCTACTTATGAGGCTGTGAAAATAAATAATATTAATTAAATCTGGGACTAAGCAGTTACTTCCTTCAGGCAAGGGAATGTCATTTGATTATAAGGAAATCTAGGAAGTTATGTGAGGTTTCTGGAAGAAATCAGAATTTCAGGATTCTAATTCCATCTCTGCTGATGACTTGAGATTAGTCATTCTGTTCTCTGGTCTAGTTAAATTTTACATAGTGCCTTTTATGCTAATGTAGTTTTTAATAAAGACAATATTTATTATAAGACTGCTTCTGTAATTCCAGCTTTCCTGCCACAGCCCCTCATCCCCTGAAAATGTATACCTGCACCAAGTTTGTCTCCACCCCTTCCCTGGTGAGTACCTTCCTGCCTTTGGGAATCTAATGAGGGGCATCTTTTCTCTCCTTGCTTTCACACCTTACTCCTCAAGTTGGACTAGAGAAAGGTAAGAGATTTGGGAGAAGGAAAGGCACTTTGCTGTGGTAGGCTGACAGAAGAGAGTGAATGCTTACCAGGCATTTACCCTCTTCACACACATTTATTGTTAACTGTTACCAAGTCAGTTCTAACTCTCAGTGATCTGTATACAGCAGAACAGAAGCCTTGCCCTCTCCTCACAGCCGCCACTGTCCTTGCACCCGTTGTTGTAGCTTTCATGTCTACCTGTCTTTTAGTAACCTGTTTTATCAAGCATGATGTCTTTTTCAGAGACTGACTCTTCTTGGTAACCAAGTATGTGAGATGAATTCTTGCCATGAAGTCTTTGACAACTTCAGTCTTTTCTCTGCTAATGATGCTTATTGGTCCACATCCCTTGCAAACTTTTACTGGGATCCACATGGAAGCAACAGTCAAGAAATTGTGTTACAATAGACAGATCTGCTGCCAAGAACTTCTTTTAAAGGGCTAAAGATCAAGGATGTCACTTTGAAGACTAAGGTGCACCTGACCCACCCCATATATTTTCAGTTTTCTCTTATGCATCTGAAAGTTGGACAGAGAATAAAGAAGACTGAAAAAGAATTGTTGTATTGGTGAAGAATATTGAATATATCCATTGACTACCAAAAGAACCGTTGTGTCTTGTATAAAGCCTGAATGCACCTTAGAAGCAAATAATTTTGTCTTACATACTTGGCATGTTATCAGAATAGGCCAGTCCTTGGAGAAAGTTATGCTTAATCAAGTAGGTCATCAAAAAAAGAGGAAGTCTTAGATAGAGTGATGGCAGTAGTTGCAACAGTGGACTTGAGCACTGCAAAGATTGTGAGAATGGTGCATGATCATGCCAGGTTAGTCTCAGATGTAGGTTGTTTTGAGTCAGAGCTAACTCCACAGCACTGAATAGCCATCTTAGAAGGAGAATATTGGTGAAAACTAGACCAACATAAGATTATTCCTAATTCTGAAACAGTATTCTTGAAAACTGGATCCCAGACAGTATTGGTGAACATGATATAGGTTGAGTAATTAAGGCAGAGTATGTAGGAACTTTTTTTTTTTTTTTAAATTTTTTATTATTTTGTGTGCGTGTACCGTCAAATCAGATCTGACTGGTACAGGAGGATATTGCGCCTCCTTCTCCGGCAGAGTATCTGGTGGATTCGAACAGTGTTCCTCTGGGATTGCAGTGCAGCTTCTTGCCACTAGGCCACCAGAGCTCCCCTAGGAACTTTTAAGTATTGGAAAGCAGAGCCATAGCAAGTTCAGTTCCTTCTGGAACTTAAATTTAATTGAAAAGCTAAAATGCACATAAATTTTTACTGGCAGTGTTTAACTCAGAAACAGCAGCATGGGAGAAATTACAGAGGTAAGAAAATAGTCAACAGTGAATGATTAAAACCAAATTATAGATTATTAAACACAGTAGAAGGGGAGATTTGGTGGCCTAGTGGCAAGAAGCTGCACTGCAGTCCTGAAAAAGCACAGTTCGAATCCACCAGATGTTCTGGTGAAGAAGGCGTGGCAATCTCCTTCCGTGCCAGTTGGATTTGATTCAATGGTACAGAACAAGGAAAAAAAAATAAACACAGTATGGGTAACTGGTTAACTGTAAGCACTTGTAATGCTAACCTAAAGATCCATCTTGTGATTTGAATTCACCAACTGCTCTTCATGGGCAAGATGGATTGCCAGCTTCTGAAACCCCCCCGGAGGATCAGTTGAATTGTTTCTGACTCAACGACATTGAGTTGAGCAGTAACTGATTGAGTTTATAAATGAAAAGAATACTATTAGTAGGTCCTTCATATTGACTTTTTTTTTAATTATTATTTTTTCATATTGACTATTTAACATATATACCTTGAACTGAGTTTACCAAAACATAATCTCATTTATGCCTTAAATCAGCCCTGAGAAATAATACTTTCTTGATAGCTGGAGAACAGGCTTATACAAATGAAGTTACTTGTCCTGAGATCTTGTCCAGGGATTTAGATCTATTTTCATATAAATTCTGGCTCTCAACGTCTATAATTGTCTGGTTTGAGATTAGGAAAAACTACCAGGAGTTTCTAAAAGAATATGTTGCCCAGTCTTTAGTTTTCTTGAGGCTGATCTCTTGTAGTATGAAACAAATTTTTCTGAGACATACTTCTTTTGTTTTTCAAGGGCTGTAAAGGGGTACTTTGAAGGCTCTTGTGGCCCAGAGGGAAGTAGACTTTCTCCACTTTAAAGCAAAGAAGTCTGGAAGTAGAAGAAATAGCATTGTTCTTAAATATAGGATTAAGTAAAATTAAGAAAGAATGATCCAAGATTCTTATTAAAGTGTGAAAGACTAAAAGGCTTAGAGACGATTTTGTTGCTATAAAAACTTGGTGTGACTCTGAAACTTCTTTCTACAGCCTTGCCTGATATCCTGAATGTCCTTATGTTGTTCCCACTAGGTCAGGAGTGCCTCTCAGCTGCTGAGCCGTCCATTGTCTGCAGTGGTCCTGAAACAGCCAGAGACACTGAGAGATGAGGTAATAAGGTAGTTACAGGTGTGTGTCTGTGGTTAGAAGAAAAATGGAAAGGTTTACCTGCTGGAACCACTAGGGGGCGTGCTGAGAATAATAATCTCAGACCAAAATTAGTGAGGGATCAAGACCCTGTGCTTCGGGTGATGTAGGGTACTCAATGCCATATAAACTAGAGGACCAATTTTTTTGCCACTAGCAGCACTTGCCCATATATGCTGCTAATAACTACCATTCCTATTTTAATGACTTTTGTTGGAAGAACTATGGGATTGGGCAAAATGTAAAGTTTAAATAGTACAGTAATTTCCAAAGCAAGAAATTTGCTTAAAAACTTTGCTTTTCACTTTCCTCTTGACAGAATTTCAGCTGCTTGACAGCCCCACGTTCCTTGATTTCATTTGTCCCTAGTCGCAGCTTCCAAACCAGCACTGTCTCAAGGGATATTGACACAGCAGCCAAGTTCATTGGGGCTGGGGCTGCCACGGTTGGAGTGGCTGGCTCTGGAGCTGGGATTGGGACTGTGTTTGGGAGCCTCATCATTGGTTATGCCAGGTAAGATAAATTGATCCCTAATTAGGTTTACCAAAGATGTAAGTGGCAATATTTGATTTTCTTGAGGCAAACCTATCTGGTAGCCATTAGCTACATGTGGCCATTTGCATTTAACTTTAATTAAAATTAGTTAATTTGAGATATTTTAGCTTTTCAGTCACATTAGCTACATTTCAGTTGTACAATAGCTATAAGTTGACTCTATCAGGTTAGAACAACAGCTATAGAATGTTTCTATTGCTAATGAACCATTGCCATGGTTCTAAAATTCTTTTGAACCACTTTGGACTAGAGCTTGGGTTGGCAAACTGAGATCCATGAGCCAAATTTGATTTAGTACACCTGTATAATAAAAAAATTTAAAGGGTTTTGTATTGTTTTTAAAATTAGACTACAGAAATCTCAAATGCCCAAGTCCTGGTCTGTGTCCTCATTCAGCATAGTAACTTACTGCTGTTTATCCCCCATCTTCGGGAATTCCTCTTCTTTACTCTTGGGAAAACCACCTCTATAGCCAGCCCCACTAGTCCCTGAAACCTGGGACCATTTGGTCCCTGCCAACTTTGGCAACTCGTTGTTAGAACTAAATTAATCATCTAGAGACCATCAAGTTCTCTTAATGTCTTTGGGGAAAATGTATTTATTTTTCAGGATTTGTGTAAAACAAGAAGCTGATTGCCTCTCTGTCCATAATTCTGTTAAAAGTTGGCAATACTTTGCCTTACCTATGAGACTTTCAAAAATAAGAGAAATATAAGCTGTATATTGATTTTCTAAGTTGTTAGACATTTTTCCCATTGTTACTGTCTAAACTTATGTTAATACCTAAATGCTCCAGTTTATTTGTAGCTTCCTAAGGTGGATGAGATGCATTGACTCAGTGATTGGGGTCATGGGGGGGGGGGTAGGTGTGTGAGAGTGAGATTGGTTCAAGATAGAACAGAGTTCAAAGCTGTTGTACATAAAGTCGCTACGCAAGCAACTCAGTAGCACACAAGTCCAAGCACAAGGTCCAAAATCTTGACTGTTTTTAAAAGTAAGTTAGTTCTGTCCTGATTCCCAATGTTCTCCAAAACAGTGGTTTGGTTTTTCAGTTGTGTTCCATAGAACTCTAGCATTCTGGGCATTCCCTCCCTAAGACTTTTAGAGACTAAGGGAAGGCCAGTGAAACAGACCTATAAACCACACACACTTCTTTGGAACCACTAAAGTTTGGTTTTTATATATGTAATACCGTGGGGTGCTACAGGTTAAGATTTTAATACCCGGGGGGTGGTATGATTTTTTTTTTCTTGGGGGGGCCGTTCCTTGTGTACCATCTAATTGGATCCGACTGGTACAGGAAGAGATTGCCCCTTCTCCAGCAGAGCATCTGGTGGATTCAGAGCATGCGCCTTCAGGATTGCAGTGAAGCTTCTTGCCATTAGGCCACCAGAGTTCCCTCCTGGGTTTGTTTTTTAGCATCTCTGCCATTCTAGTTAGGTCCTGCATAGTAACTATCCAATCTCAGAAGACTGACTCTCTAGAGGAGGTAATGTTTATACCTGGGCCATGTTAAAGGATTTTGGATTTTTCATGACCCTCATTCAGGCCCTCTAGAACCTTTGTTGTATCATAACAGTGTTTGTCTCTTATTTCTCCTTCCCTCCTCACAGGAATCCTTCTCTGAAGCAGCAGCTCTTCTCCTATGCCATTCTGGGCTTTGCCCTCTCAGAGGCCATGGGGCTCTTTTGCCTGATGGTGGCCTTTCTGATCCTCTTCGCCATGTGAAGGAGCCATCTCCACCTCTCATAGTTTGTTGGTTTTCTCTCCCCATGTCTTGTCTACCCTATGTGTTCCTTTCCCTGTAACTCCCCAGGCAGCCTGGGGAAAGTGATTGGCTCAGGGTTTGACTGAGGAAAGATAAATAAATACTGTTAATAAGATATTTTTTGAGTCTCCTATGTATATTTCTTTTCTTCAGTGAGAGAACAAGGCCTTGAGGTGGTCATGGTTCTAAAATGAACATGGGTCTGGGCTCACTTGTTCTTATTCTCTGCTTCAGAGAAACTTTATGCAAATAAGGCCCCAAGTGTAATATTTTTTACCTGTCATGGTCTGTTACTTACCTTGAGGATTAGGTTCATAGCAAGTTATAGGATTCCCTTAAAACACTGACTACTATTGTGTTAGGTGTTAACTAATAAGCCCTCCCCTTCCCACTGCCACCATTCTGACACTTACCTCATTATTATCCATTTGGTTTGTTTTAAAAACTTAACTGGCCGAATGTTTCCAGTCTTCCCCATAGCATTTACCCACATAGCATCTACCCACAACTGCCATGCTAATGTCACAGAATTGGTCTTTTCATTTACAGATTAGAAAATCAGTCTGATTTCAGCACATTCAGCTTTATTCTGTTCTCATTTACTACTCTTAGAATGTATAGTTTGCCATCTTTCACTCTGCATGCTTTCCTATCCACACCATACCACCGACCTACCTACCTTTGGGTTGGCAGGACATTTTCTTTGCATGGAGCCACCAGGGCTCCCTGAATAACACATGGTCTGCATTAAATTGTGCATCTGGGCGGTGGGGCGACTTAGATGCGCCACGGCTTCGGGAGCGGCAGAAGGTTGTGCGAGCCTTAAGTCGCTCTAACCCCTCCCCCAGAAAGCCATCGCGGACACTGAGTGCGGGCTCCGCAGTAACCAACCATGTGCGACCGAAAGGCGGTGATCAAAAATGCAGACATGGAGGAGATGCAACAGGACTTGGTGGAGTGCACGACCCAGGCGCTGCAGGAATACAACATCGAGAAGGACATCGCGGCCCACATCAAGAAGGAGTTTGACAAGAAGTACAACCCCACATCATGGGGAGAAACTTCGGTAGTTATGTGACACATGAAACTAAGCACTTCATCTACTTCTACCTGGGCCAAGTTGCCATTCTTCTGTTCAAATCTGGTTAAAGCATGGACTGTGCCCACACACCCAGTGATCCATCCAAAAACAAGGACTGCAGCCTAAATTCCAAATACCAGAGACTGAAATCTTTAGCCTTGCTAAGAGAACGCCTCCATCTTTGAACCTTTGTTGTGTTTTGTACAGGACCTTCCTCTGTACCAGTTTGTTGTGGTTATAAAGCAATTAGCAAATCAGCTTACATTTGTATTTATTTTCTATCCCATACTTTTCTCTGCCTCATGTTTTTTCTTTCCTCACAATTCATTCCTTTAAAAAAATAAATCTGTTGGAGATGTGTGTGTTAAAAAAATTGTGCATCTGTACACACATGCATGTGTACACGTGAGTGATTTATTTGGCAAATTTGTTGGTTTCTTGAGGCAAAGACATTGTCATGCTGATATGTATATCCTTGAAAGCACCATGATGCATCTCACATAGGAAATGTTTACTTGTATTTTTTTGTTTAATTACCCCATCCAACTTAATCAGATTTTTTGAGAGGACAGAACATTCACTTGAATGTAGAGCTGAGACTAGAAATGGAGTCTAGAATATGAGACCACCGTGCCACTGCTCTTGTGTAACTCTTCCACACTTGTTGTCTTGTGATAACATTCTCCCATGCAAGGAGAAAGTTAACACTGCAAAAAACACGTCTTGGAGTAAGTGCAATGAGAGTGCTCTTTGGAGTCAAGGATGGAGAAGCTTTGTTTCATTTGGGGTATGTTATAAGAAGCTATTTCTTGGAGAAGGACATACTTGGAAAGGCAGAAGTGAAAAAGAAGACCCTTAGTGAGATGTGTTGGTAGCAGTGTCTGCAACAATGAGCTCAATGTGTTGGGGATAAGAATAGCACAAGATAGGATAAGGTCAGATCTGTAACAAATTCTCTTAAAAATGCCTCAGTGTGGACTTTAGGTTGTAGTTACTGTTTGACTCAGAACAGACCCATGGCTGATTCATAAACTGATAATGGGTCTTAAGAGACAGTTAATCACATAGAAGGAGACTGCCCAACTTTCTCCCATAGAAGAGCTTATTGGTTTGAATCACTTGCCTTTGGATTGCAGCATGCACCTTTTTCCACTAAGTCACCAGGCCTCCTCTTAGACTGTAGAGTTAATATAAAAAGGAATGGGCTTAAGAGCCAGTAGAGATAGTGAGGATAGTACTGGATCTGGCAGGGTTTCAATCTGTTGTACAAAGAGTCCTTGCATGAGCTTACTTGCACATAATTAAATTAATAAATAGCAATGTAGATTATCTTCAACCAATAGTTTATTTTTTTATTAATTCATTGTGACCCTAGGAAGTAACTCCAAATTGTTAACTTTTGCTATTTGTGGCCAAAGGTTTGCTTCCAAATTGTTATCCTTTCCTAGATAACAATTTTCTGAGACTTTAAAAAAAATTTTTTTTTCTTCTTATTTGTGTGTGTACCGTCAAATCGGATCTGACAGGTACAGGAGGAGTTTGCCCCTCCTCCAGCAGAGCATCTGGTGGATTTGAACCGTGTACCTCTGGGATTGCAGTGTTTGAGACTTGTGAAATTCTTTTTAGTGGGCCTTAGGAAAGTAAGACTCTAACTTTCTATTTCCAGCAAAGAGTTGGTGAGTAGTCTCAACCCCAAAAGGTGAATTTGACCTTTTCTTCTGTCACTTGAATTTGATCCTCTAGTGGTCCAATTGACAGCAAAATGAAAGATGGAGATGACACTGGGGTTGTTAACAATTTCAGCTTGCTTGGTGCCAGCAATCAGGGAATTGAAAGATTAATTGCATTGAGAAGTCTGTCTCTCCAGAGTGCTAAAGAGTAATGATGTCAGTCTAGGGACTAAGGTGTGCCTGATCTAGGCCTTAGTCTTAACAATTACTTACTATGCATCAGAGAACTGAACAGTGACTAAGGATGACAGACAGAAAAATCAATGCCTTTGACAATATTGAACATACCTAGACTGCCAGAAGAACAAGCAGGTCTGTCTTGGAAAAGATAAAACCAAGTTTCTCCTTGGAGGCAAGGATTTTGAAGCTCCGTCTCACATACTTTGATCCCATGGCCAGGAGGAACCAGTCCTTGGTGGGACATCATTCTTAGAAGAATGGCGGGACAGCACAGGAGAGGAAAACCCCAGACGAGATGGACTGACACAGTAACTGGGGTAACGGGTAGGTGTGTCAGAGTCAGACTGGCTCAGCATAGGATAGGGTTCAGCGATATTGTAAATAGGGTCACTATGGTTGCAGGCAACTCAATGGCACATAACAAGTAGGAGCCTCTGCTCCTCAATCCATTCATGAGTCATTTGATACGTGTTTTCTTTCCTTACCCCTTTGGAATTGAGTCTAACTAACCCCTTAAAATTTCACGAAGTACCATATAAGCAGGAGCCAATGGTAATGAAGGAGGAAGTAGAAGCTGTATTTAAGACAGTGGCAAAAAATACGGCCCCAGGAATTGATATGCTCACCAGTCTATGCCAGGAAATTTGGAGGACAGATGTTTAGCAAATGGATTGGAAGAGGTCCATATTTGTTTCCATTCCTAAGAAAGGTGATCCAACAGGATGTGCAGACTATTGAAAAATATCATTAATATAAAAGGCAAGCAAAATACTGCTGAAGATCATTCAAAAATGGCTAGAACAGTACATAGATAGGGAACTGTCAGAAGTTCAAGGAGGATTTAGAAGAGCCTGTGGCGCCAGGGGTATCACTGATGATGTCAGATGGATCCTGGTTGAAAGTAAAGAATGCCAAAAGAGCTTTCTATGAAGATGGCGCCAAAAGCGAAGAAGGAAGCCCCTACCCCTTCCAAAACTGAAGCCAAAGCAAAGGCATTAAAGGCCAAGAAGGCAGTCCTGAAAGGCATCTACAGCCAAAAAAAAAAAGATCTGCATGTCACCCACCTTCCAGCAGCCTAAGACGCTGGGACTCCAAAGGCAGCCCAAATTCCCCTGGAAGAGCACCCCCAGGAGAAACAAGCTTGACCACTATGCCATCATCAAATTTTCCCTGACCACTGAGCCATGAAGAAGATAGAAGATAACAACACACTTGTGTTCATTGTGGATGTCAAGGCCAATAAGCACCAAATCAAAGAAGCTGTAAAGACATTGATGTGGCCAAGGTCAACACTTTGATTAGGCCTGATGGAGAGAAGAAGGACTATGTTTGACTTGGTCCTGACTATGATTCTTTGGATGTTGCCAACAAAATTGAGATCATCTAAACTCAGTCCAGCTGGCTAATTCTAAATACAAGTTTTTCTCACCATAAAAAAAAAAAAGAATACCAAAAGAATGTCTTTTGTGCCTTATTGACTCTGCAAAGGCATTTGACCATGTAGATCATAACAAGTTGTGGCTGACATTGAGAAGAATGGGAATTCCAGAACATTTAATGGTGCTCATGCAGAACCTATATCTAGGAGGTTGTTGTGCAAACAGAATGGGAACACTGCATGCTTTTTGGATTGGTTTTTTTAAAATTTTTTTTCTTTAGTGTGTGTGTACGGTCAAATTGAATCTGACTGGTACAGGAGGAGATTGCCCCTCCTTCTCCAGCAGAGCATCTGGTGGATTTAAATTGCGCACCTCTGGGATTGCAGTGCAGCTGGGAACACTGCATGGTTTAAAGTTAACAAGGGAGTGTGTTATGGTTGTGTTCTCTATATATCTATTCAATCTGTATGCTGAGCAAATTATCTGAGTAGCTGGACTTTATGAAGAGGAATCTGGCATCAGGATTGAGGGAGACTCATCAATAGCCTGCATTATGCAGATGATACAACCTTGCTTGCTGAAAGTGAGGAGGACTTGAAGCACTTGTTGCAGAAGATCAAGGAATGCAGCCTGTGGTATTGATTGCAACTCAATGTCAAGAAAATAAAGATTCTTACCACTGGACTGATAGGCAACATAATGATGGATGGAAAAGAGATTGAAATTGTCAACAACTTCATCTTAC